TGTAACATGGGCTGGAGGGACAGCTCAGGGGTTAAATGCTAGGCTCACAACCAAAAATATAAGAGAAGTTTTAACATGTTCATTGCCAATGCAAACATTTTCCTGAATATTTCTATTAATGGTTATAGAATCTGTTTTAATTAAAACCCAAAGACATGGGAGAACAACTATCCCAGACATGCGCGAGGAACAAAGAATGCATTTTATCTTCTCATATTGTTCCTCATTTAATTAATTCTACTACACATTTGTGTGTGTATGCATGCGTGTAAATGTACGAGTGTGAGTGTGCATGCGTGTGTGCATGAGTGCATGTGAAAGCCAGAAAACAAGCTCAGATGAAATTCTTCAAACATTGTCCACTTTGCTTTTTGAGACAGGATCTCTCATTGGCCTGAAATTCATCAAGTAAGCTAAGCTAAGCCCCAGAGAGTCACCTGTGTCTGCCTCGTCAGCCCAGGGATTACAGGCTTGTGCCGCTATGCCCAGCTATTTTCGCATGGGTTCCAGAAGTCAAACCCAGGCCACCAGCTTGTGTGGCAAGCTAGCCTATTGACTTGCCTTCTGAGCCCTTACTTCTACTATTGTTGAGCAAAACCAGAAGATAACTTCCCCCAGAGATATGTATTTTTTCTTTACTTTTCTTTTCTTTTTTTCTTTCTTTCTTTTTTTTTTTTTTTTTTGCAACAGGGTTTCTCTGTATTGCTTTGTAGACCAGGCTAGCCCTGAACTCACATAGATCTGCCTGCCTTTGCCTCCTGAGTGCTGGGATTAAAGGCATGCGCCACCACCGCCTGTCTAAGATATGTATTTAGTAAGACAATTAATGGAGGGGAATTTTTCCAAGTATTGTATTTACTGTCACATGTCTTTAAACATCACTGAAAATGATGATCTTTTGTTCAGATGCCCAGGTTCTAAAAGCCCTGCTGATTCTAATCACTTGACCAGTACCCCAGGACGCTTAAGATCAGGGTTTCACTAATAATGAAATAACCTGTAATCTCTGCATTTTAAACAGACTTATCGTTACTTTTGAATTTTTTATTTACTTCTCAGATCTGATTGCTGTTATTTTCCCTGGACTAGTGTGACAGACAGTGAGCTCTTTAGAAATAGGAACTTGTCAACTCTACTCTTTCCTAAGCTTTTCTAAGAAAAGCTTTACCTTCAATGTAGAGGTCCTGTTTTTTGTTTGTTTGTTTGTTTGAGCTGAAACAACATTTAATCTAGTTTAAATCAAAAAATACAATAAGTAAATCCATACCGTGATACAACATCACAGTCTAAGGGAACTACCTCTTGTTTCTCCCACTGGCTCTCTTCATGGAGTTTGGCAAATAGGGTTCAGTTCATTATTGGGCACACTGACTGAATATGGAGCCAGATTTAATCTATATATTTGCAAAGCCACATTCTGTTTTTATATGTGTAAAAGTAAAACGAAAAATTAGAATTTTATTTCCAATCTTTTCTGGAGACTCGATGGCTCTCTCTGCAGAGAAGAATTCACAGTATAAGCTAGCCAACATTAGCTTGTGTTTTTAGGTGGATCTAAGGTTGGGTCCTCATTGGTCTAAGTTGGCCAATTTCCCCAGTCACAGTGATTAGTTAAGGGGACATCAAGAAAGTCAATTTGGAGCTGGTGGTTCCCATGTAATCCCAGCATCGAGGAGCACAAAACAAGATGACTGCCAGTTTAAGGCCAAAGATTGAATTGAGACTCTATCCAGAAAGAGAGAGAGAGAGAAAACGAGGAAGGAGGAGAGTGGGAGGGAAGAAGGGGAAAAAAAAAAAAAAAACCAAGAAACTCTACTTGGATTTTAAAAGCATGTCTTCAGACTTCTATGATATCTCCAGAAAAAGGCTAACTCCCTCCCCTCCTTGAGACCACTATAAGTCAGTTTATCACCCTGAGAACACAGACTGCCACTCTCAGGAAGCACCCTATAAAACCAAGGAAAGAAATGGCTGCTGAAGGTAGAAACAAAGGTCCTTGGGGACATGTTCAAACTCCTAGGTGAACACTTGCCTAAATCCAGCCATTATCCTGGTACTTCTCAACAATATCGGGCCACTAAATTCCAGTTAACTGCAACACTTTATTTAAATTGACTTCTATAGATACTTAAGTATCTATTACCCACAATGAAAAAATATCCCTTACCAACACAACTGTCAGCTCCCTCTTACAGTTTGTTTTGCTGTTATTTTTACTTCTTTTTGGGTGTATTTGTTGATTGTATATTCATACTCTGAATCAAGAACAATTATATCCTAAATAGTAACCAGAGAATAATAGTGTACAATAAAATGCCAAGTTGCAAAGCTATCTAACCTTGGAAACATATATGAATTTTTGTGGTCTTCAGTTTTCTTATTGGAAGAAAGAAGTCACTTTTAAAATGTCTTCAAGTTTATTGTAACGGTTAACTAAAAATATGGCATGCTGGATGGCATATAGTACTGGGTACAATTTAGATGCAAGGCAGATCGATGAAGTAATAATGGCTACCATATATAGAGGCCTACTATCTATCTGCCAGGCACTTTTTATAACCTATCACTTTAAATTTCACAAGCTCCTGAAGGGCATTATCGATGTCATTTGTCAGATGCCAGAACCTAGGTTGGGAGAGAGCAAAGGCTAGCAGCTGGCAAGTGCGATGCCAGGATAGAAAGCCAGGTTGATCTGACTTCAAAGTTAAATACTTTCTTCTACCCCAAGCTGTTGTCAAGAAAGGTGCAACTGATGCAGTGAAACTCACTTTGGATTCTAAAAACAATAAAATGAATTTCAGTAGAGGAAGGGCTTTGCCGGTTTTGAAGAGCACAAAACATTGTTAATTATTAGAGGACAGAAACAAAACTCACTACATCAGGGCTCCCTTCTTCAACTCTAGCACCATGACAGGCAGGACGGATGATGGGGGCCATCCAATTTCCTATTCATCTCGTTCCAACAAATTGGGAGGCATGCAATATTTTGCTGGTGTGTTTCAAAGACTATGTCACTCTCCCCTGGTTCTATTTTCCTTTCTGTTGCTGCAATAAAACACCCGGACCAAAAGCAACTTAGGAGAGAGTTTATTTCATCTTAGAGGTCACAGTCCATTGCTGCAGCAGGAACCTGAGGCAGAAACCATGGGGAATGCTACTTGCTGGCTTGCTTGCAGGCTCATACAAAGCTAGCTTTCTTGTACAACCCAGGACCACATGCCCAAAGAATGGTACTGCCCAAGTGGACTAGGTCCTTCAATATCAAATTATCAATCAAGACAGTGCCTCCACAGACTCCACAGGCCCATGCAATCTAGGCAGTGCTCTCTTAGATAACTTCAGGCTATGTCAAGTCAACAGTCAACATGAACTAGGACACCCCTCTTAGGTATAAATAATAGCAAGTAGTTTTTGTTTTTGCTTTTCCATGCAGCTGTTTACACAAGCACGTTTTCCAACCTGTGCCTGTGGAGTCTGTTCAATTCCGGGGGTCTGAACTAGCAGACCCCTTGCCTGGTCAGCTCTAAAGCCATGGCCAGCCTTCCAGTTTGACCAGTAGCTGAGTTTACACTTCAGTTTCTATCCATGCAACACTTGCAGCTCTCAGTGTGGAATGCAGGCATCATTTTGAAACCTTCTAAAACCTCAGCCGTCAGTAGGTATTCAGCAGGCCTCAGGAGAAGAAAATTCTGACAAGTTCAGAGGACACCACGAAACCTGGTATGATGTGAGCAGTGGGGTGTGTGGTGAAAGGGGTGAAGAAAAGACAGATAAGGTTAGGCACACAGAGTAATGGAGTGCTTACAAGGAAGGCAGAAAGTCTGGATTTGATGTGGGAGAAGAGTGTCGATGAAATTTCTCTGTGGATGAAGACATGAAACCTTGGTATCTGACCTCCAGAGTGAAAGAAAATGGCGATTGTTTTTCTTCAGTACAGACAAGAATGAGTATGCCCGGAGTCAATCCGTTACCAGAAGTGGGTTCTTGAATTTCTGAGCGAGGAAAGAGAGGCAGGGTATGGGAAGTAGACTTGTACACAGGACTGAAGGGCTGAAGCAGAGGAGATCTCTGCGGGAAACCGATTAGGTTATGGTGACCACCCTGCTATGGGAAAAGCACAGGGGGGGGGGCTGGAGGCAAACTCTGAAAGAAGTAATGAGTGGAACCCCTGAGCTGATGGAAAATGGGGTTCATCTGGATGTTGAGTTTGAAGTGTCACACGTGGATTTATTCCTGGTCACCAGAGACAGGAAAGTAAGGGCAGGAAAGAGATTCTTAACATGGGTGTGTGTGTGTGTGGGGGGGGTCAGCACCCTTTGAAGACCGCTATGGGATGCATAAATATGGAAGTTACCGGAAATTGCAAGGGTACGTTATAACAGGAACATTGGTGAGGAGTGGATGGGGGAGAAGGGATCACGTTCCTGGATCAGAGGAGAGGATATAAAAACATTGCACAGAGGCTCTTAGCAGAGCAAGGCAGTTATGTCCTCTCTCCAGTTGAATGCAAAAGTAGCTTTTTGTTCACCAGCCCTTCTCGGGCTCCAGTACCTTCTACTTTGGCTGTAGTTACACCCTCCTATCCTCTGTTCTCTCTGTCCCTTTCAGAAAAGAGGGGTGGCTCTGGAATATTCAGGTTCAAGTCCCAACCCCGGTATGGGCGCTCACTGTGCTGCCCACCTAGCTGGCTCTGCAGCCTGCAGCTAGTTCCTGCTGTCTGTCACCGGACTGCTGCAGGCCAGCGCCCCTCCCGGGGATGGGGTTTCAGCGGTTTTCCCCGCCTTTGTTGCAGGGTCCCTAGAGATACGGATACCCCGTGCCTTCTCTTGAGATGCCTGAGGATTCTTAGTGGGGGTCCGGGAGAGGACTGGGATGCCTGCGGTGCTCGGAAGCTCTTGGGCTCCGGGCGGGGGCCGGGAGGAGGGAGCGCAGCGGGAGCCGCGGGGGCTGCGCTGCAGAAGGGGAGGAGAATGGGGAGGAGCTGGGGGGCCGGCGGGCGGGGAAGGAGGGGTCTTAAGGGGCGGCGAACCCAGGTCGGACTTCCTCGGAGCCTGGCGACCAGGAACGATCCCGTCTCAGACTTCAGGTCTCTGCCCTACCCCACGTCCTCCAGAGCCCGAGACCCGACCACGGTGAGCATAGCGAGGAGGCTAGGCGGCTGCAGGCTCCGGGGGTGCTGGGAGGAGGGGACGAGTCTGCGGGACCCGAGGAAGTTTCCAGGGTCCGCGTGGGGCCCAGAGCCTTCAGTCTCACCCTCTTCTCTCTTCCGCAGATGTGGAAACACTGGCTGGCGCTAGCGCTTGTGGCCGTCGCCCTGGTCCACGGCGAGGTAGGTGACCGGTCTCTGGGGTTTGCGCGCCGGGCGGCCGGGTGTGCGCCCCAGGGATGCTCTCTGGGTGGAACTGGGGGTCCCCACGCTTGCTATAGAGTGGGACTCTGGGGTGCTCCGAGCAGAAATTCTACTAAACAAACTTAAATCTCAATTCCGAAGTAGTTTGGTCCATAAACTAGAGCCCCACCACGCCTAATATGGAGGGAGGCTGGGGAGAGGGGAGAGGGTACAGACTTGGCGGATAGGAACAGAGGCGGCGGCCAGAGCAGCAGCAGAGTTCTAACAGGCGTCTGGAGTTCTGTTCACTTCAGAGGAAACTACGAATAGTTGCGGACTTTTCCTTTCCAAGTCTTCCCTCGGTGGGGGAGGACTGAAAAGATTGTTTAAATAGCAAAATGAAATGTCCTTTCTCTTTTGTAGAGTGAATTGTGTTTCCCCAAAATGCATTTTCTTCTTTCTAAAATGTACGGGATTTTTTTTGTTGTTGTTATTATCTGGGCTCCATAAGAGCCTTTTACAGTTCAAATTTTCCCTTAATCTGCGGCTCTGCCCTTTGGGGGCCTCTGATTTCCAGTTAAAACATGTAGCAGCTCTGCCTTTCTTTTTCCTCTTTCTTTCTTTTTTTCTTTCTTTCTTTCTTTCTTCCTGTTAATGTTTTCTTTTCAACTCCAGTGACCTCCTGAGACACTACAAACAAACCAACAAACCCTATGCTCACAAGCCCCTCCATTAACTCAAAGGTTTATGGACAGAAAATAAACAATTCTAAATTCCCCGGGCTCCAGTCTCCAGAAAAGTGAGGTCAGAAACTAAACATTTGATAATTATGGCAGGAAATGTGGAAGGAATTAAAAAGCATGAGAAAGAAGAAATGGAATGCACATTACAAAAGAAATAGCTCCCTGGTGGGTGGTTTATAGCCCCTCTCTGAGTTTTTCTTTCATTTTTCCGTCTGGCCCCACCCTTTACATCGCAGCTTGATTCTGCCCCAGAATTCATAAATGCATACAGTCTTCTTACTTAAAAAAAGCACACACTGTACTGATGTTTCCTTTAATTCACTGCATCATTGATTGAGGTAGAAACAAGCTATTTTTACTCCCAGTGAGATAAAAGCAGCAACTATTTATTAGGTAGTTACAACTTGTAATAAAATTCTACTTTAATCAGAGAGAAACTGAGTCAGAAGTTTATGTGACTTATCAAATACCTTCAGTTTTTATAATAGTGGGGGCAAGATGAGAACCAAAGCCTTCTTGCCCCAGACCCCATACTCTTAATCACCTCCCCACCCCACTTGCAAGCACAAAAGCTTAGAATTTTGCCAAGTATTTTGACATCAGATGTTGGCTGCTTGTATCGCTAGCATCATATCTTTTAATGCCTTTCAAACCCTGTGAGGTGGGCTTTGTTAGTTCCATCTTGCAGAGCAGAGAACAAAGTTAAGGAAACTAGTTACATTGTCCAAGTTCATATAACTGATTAAAATCTGAAAATGTATCGGTATGTGCCCAGCTCCCACTACCCTGCAAACACTCCTTGAGCCCCAGCCTGCTCCTCATCCATTTTTCTTCAGAGTTTGAATGGAGGAAATACCCCGATTTTTAGCCCTGGTTAAAGAATACTCCTCCTTCCCTTTTATTGATCTCGGGGTCCTCGCCTCTAGTCCTGGCACTTCCGAGGCAGAGGCAGGCCAATATCTGTGAGGCCAGCCTGGTCTACATTTCGAGTTCCAGTACAGCCAGTGCTACATAATGAGACCCTGTCTCAAATGATGATGATGATGATGATGATAACAGCTGGTATCCTGTGATAGATGAGGTGAATCCCTGCTTAGTGTCACAGCCAGCTTAAGAATTGCCAACTAGTTTGTGAAATGACAGAACTCTTTGCAGAGGTAAGGTGTGCAGGGACTGTGACTCATCTGCACAAGGCTGCATGTCCCAAGGTCTGGGATCTGTCGTAGGTAACCTGCACTTCTCTCTGGCCTCCTCATCCTACTGCTCTGCAGGGAAAAGCTCTTTCCTGCTGGAGCTCTATGGAAGAAGAGCCAGTATTCAGTTCCCAGGCAGAAACCTTGGCGCAAGGGGAGTGGGGGTGGGGGTGCTGAGGCATGAAAATCCAGGGAGTTGGTACAGACAAGAGGCAGTGAAGTCAGACATAGACACAGCAAAGAGGGGCCACAGCCGTGAGCCACAGCCACACCATATTTCATGACTTCACTTTATTAAGGATTATTATCTTTTAATCAACCCAGCCTTTATTGCCTGACCTTTCAGGTAACTCTTGGCAAATTTTAACGCACGTGTTAAATACTGCATCTTTAATCACGGCTGAAAAAGTAAATTAACCCTCTCTATGGAAGACGTGACTTGGCATACATTTTAAACACTATATTTCCAGTTAATGATGCTTGCAGTAGAATTTTTTTTTCCTTGTTAACCATAAGAACATTCAGCAAACACTCAAATATGGTATTTCTAGTCTTTTGGCACGAGTCCATTTTAGTAAAATTTAGATCTGCTGCAATTGTGCAAATATTGTTGAACTCTCAAAAAATGAAACATAGAAAATAAAGTGAACTTCCTTGCTGCCTTTTGCTGTAATAATCAAACCTGAGGATTTAATTCACTTTTTAAAAATGTGATGGTTTTATAACTCCTGTCTTAAAGGTTGGAGTCAACCTTCAGAACCAGCTGTTCCTCTCAGGGAAGGGTGGCTAGAATGTTCTTAATGCTAGTGTGTAGATTCTATTTGGTTACATTTGAAAAACCATTAGCAAATCTCACTAAGGGAAATATTACATTGTTTTCAGTATTTTCCATGGTGTCCCACCTGGCACCACAGTGTAACACTGTGGCTGTTTCCTCCCTCCTCCCTTTGTACTGTCACTACTTTACCACCAGGGTGTTCCTTCAGCCCACCTGGATCAGAATTCTGCCCCATCTGTGTGAGCACACACACGTGCTCTTCAGAGCTCTGCCCATGTGTCTAGATACATACTTATTGGGTGGGATTAGGCAGGGGTGGGGCAGCAGCTGAGAGGGGGCTTCTACCATCACCCCCTCCTACTCTTCCTTTCCAGGCCCCTCCCACCAAGAATGACCCACAGTTCTTTGGAAAGCTTTGGTAATGCAATAAAGGGGTGATATAGAGAATCCAAGGCATCAGTTTGTGTGCCCCTGGAATCTTGTGGACTGTAATTCAGTTCCTCTGACCTGACAGGCTAGGGGGGACACATAGCCCAACTGCCTGCTTCAGGACAGTCTTAGTAAGTGTCCAAGGGCCCCCTCCATGCATGCCCTTGCTTATTTTTGCTGTGGTTCCCAGCATTCAAGGTCTAGAAACTCATTATTGTAAATTACATATGCAAAGGACAGATTTACAGAGGAGATCACTCATTCCAGTAGGGGATCCACACTTGAGCTGTGAGCTGGGAATGTGTCTCTTGAGACAGTGGTGTGGAGAAGCAATAACACTTCTACAGACGGATGCACTGTGCTTAGCTGTAGGCATGCCACGCTAGCAGACTGCCAGGCAAGGTTTTGTCCCTCGGAAGCCACACTGCTAAATGTCACTTACACCTCCCCACCTGCATGTAATTAGCCACTAGGGCTGTATCAGCCGCCTAGGGAGGGTTGGGAACAAACACCTCTGCGTTCTATAGGACTGTCCTTGAGACTACAGTGTAACCCATACCTCCCAGCTGCAGCCCCTGAGCACTTGCAGCTTGCACATTAGCCACTCAAATGACCTCCTGTTTATCCTGTAGCAAATAAACTCCTTGCTGTGATTCTGAAGGCACTGTTGGGAATTGAGAAGTTAAAACATAGCAGGGACACCTCTGATTAGCCAAAACAGACGGGCAAGCACCTGGCAGATGGAGGCACTGCTGCTGCCAATGTCTCTAGAAGGTGGAAGCATTACAGTTCCTATCAGAGTGAGTAGGGTGACAGGAAGGCCATGCAAACAAGTTGAAGAGTTGTCGATTGGAAATGAGATGTTTTTTTTTGTTTTTTTTTGTTTTTTTTTTTTTTTTACTTTCTCCTCTCCAAATAACCGGACATCCTGGGGAACATTTTGAACAGACATCCATTTTATTGGTTTCAGAATATCAGCTATCATATTATTAGAAAAAATTAAATGTGTTCTTTGTGTAAGTCAGGTGTTGAGTGACCGTGGAGTTAAATACAGATGTCTTCTCAGGTTGCCCAGTTCCAAACCCCTTGGCTTTAGCAAGGGTGCTTTCTCCAAGAGTGAGCCAGGAATGGCACAGGGTTTCGCTTCACGGTTTCCATCAGACATAGCATTGTCTGGTTCAGGACAAGCATGCCCTGCCCACATACACAGAGCAGAATCCAGGATGATGTGCAAATCTTGGTCTCTACCCTTCAATTCCTTAAGGTCTGCTGGTGGGCCAGGAGCTTTAAGTGCTGAAGGATAAAATGTACATTAGAATAACATTATTAGCAAGTGGATTCAAGGACAGCCTGGTCAACATAGAGAGTTCTAGGCCAGACCTACATGGTAAGACCCTGTCTCAAAAAAAAAAAAAGGAGGAGAAGAAGAAGAAGAAGAAGAAGAAGAAGAAGAAGAAGAAGAAGAATCTGGGAGGTCCTTCCATAATTTCTTGAAAATTTCATTTTTAAAAAGATTTATTTATTTTACGTATTTGAGTGTTCTGTCTGCATGTATGTCTTTGCACCCCCTGTGTACCTGGTGTCCTCAGAGGTCAAAAAAGGGCATCATATCTCCTGGAACTGGAACTGGAGTTAGAGATGGTAGTAATCTGCCACTTAGGTGCTGGAAATCAAACCTGGGTCCTCTGCAAAACTAAGTGCTCTTAACCGCTGAGCCATCTCTCCAGCCCCTGAAAATTCCCCTACATTAGAAAAATATAAACATCTATAATGTGTAGCTTGATAAACTTTTATACCCAGACATTCCCAGGAAGCCAGAGCCACTACCCAGTGAAGACAGGGAGTTGGCGAAAAAGG